GGAGGAGGAGGGGAGGAGGAGGAGGAGGAGGAGGAGGAGGAGGAGGAGGAGGAGGAGGAGGAGGAGGAGGAGGAGTTCCTAGTCCGCGCGGCTCTCTCGGTGGCGCGCTCGTCGCGCGCCATCGGAAGGGTGGGGGGCGCCGTACCGGCCGGGCAAGCGCGCGCGAGCCGCCGGCAGTTTGTGCTCGTGATTTTTTTGGGGGGGGCCCTTGCAGGCTCGGGCAGCGCCGGGCAGGAGTGCACCGCCAGGGACTACATGAGCAAGCTCCTCGCCTACGTCCACGAGCAGCTCTCGAATCGGGACGTGTTTCCCATCGACGAGGGCGCCCTTTTCCCAGAGGAGTCCGAGAGGGTTGCCCAGCAGCTGTCCAGGCGCATGTTCCGCGTCTACGCGCACGCGTACCTGTCGCACTTCGCGAGGGTCCAGGAGGAGAACCTGGAGGCGGAGCTCAACTTCTGCTACAAGCACTTCCTCTACTTCGTGAAGGATCGGGTGCTTGCAGAACTGACCCTGGACCAAGCTGTCGCCTCTGGCGGCGCCAAGGGGGCCCCGATCAAGGCACGGAAGTGGCGCGGAGGACCCAACGTGGTTCTGTGGCCGGGTACGCCAGGGAGGCGTCAGCGAGGCGGGACCGACCGCGCAGGGCATGCGCTCGTGAGCTGCCCGCGTGAGGCCGCGCGGCAGCTGCCTCTCCTCCACTCGGCGTGCCGCGCTGGCGGCCCGCGCACGCCACCGCGTCGTCGTTGGCTGGGCAGACTGGCCATCGTGCTCGTCGTCGACGACGGACGACGACGACAGACTGGGGAGACTGCCCATGGCAGACGACGGGCGACGACGGTGGGTGCACGTTAGCTGGGCAGACTGCCCATGGCCATGGGCTGTGCCTCTCGCCAGGGACTCAGGAGTGGCTTTGTGCGGCAGTCGCAGGCAGGGTGTCGTCCACAGGTCGAATCACTCGGACCGTCTGCGCAGTTCCATGGTCTCCTGACGACGAGCCCTGGCATTGTTCTGGCACGGGAGACTGTGGAGGAATCCGAGGTGAGCCCCACCTTCGTCGCGCGCCCTCGTGCGGAAGGTCGACGCGCCCTCGTGCGCAAGACCTCCTCGTCGTCGCCGCTCTCCTTGGGCCGGGGGTTGCTCCTGGCAGCACCCGAGAGGAGTTCGACCTCGTCGGCGACCGCGAGCTGCTGCCCTTGCACGAGCTGAATAAGAGGTGGCTTGGCTGCAGCTCCTGGGATCTTGGATTCAGCACCGTCTGTGGTCGAAGACCGTCCCAATCCGGCTTCATCCCACCTGGTCCCGCTTGATCGGGCCGACAGTCAACCCGCAGAAGTAAGGATGAGCTCGCAACGTGTCGGCATGGCCCTCCAAGGCCCTGGCATCCTGCTCGTGCGTCCTCAGCGTGCGGGTCGATTCTAGTGTGGTCTAGTCCTGGGCCCACGCCAGCCCAACTCGGCTTCACAGTCCTTCAGTCCCAGATCTTCGTCGTCATGCTTCTTTTCACGACGTGTCCCCAGGACCCGCTTTTCACCCCGCGTCGTTTTGGGACGGTCCTGGGGCCTGGCGAGGGCCCCCAGTGGCCGAACCCAGAGATCCGATGCCGCGATTTTTGCAATGCGCGGTCCCTGGAAGTCTCGACCCACTCCCCAGGACCGGTTTTTCATCCCGAGTCGTTTTATGACGGTCCCGGGGCCCGGCGAGGGCCCCTATAGGGGCCGAACTTTGCGTACAATCTCCGTCTTAGGAGGACGAGGACGAGGAGGAGGAGGAGGAGGAGGAGGAGGAGGAGGAGGAGGAGGAGGAGGGGAGGAGGAGGAGGAGGAGGAGGGAGGAGGCGCAAGAGGAGGTAGGAGGAGGAGGAGGAGGAGGTGAGGAGGAAGGTGGAGGAGGAGGAGGAGGAGGAGGAGGAGGAGGAGGAGGAGGAGGAGGAGGAGGAGGAGCAAGAGCAGGGATGCTTTCAATGCGCCTTGGATCTCTGGGAGCCTTGCCCCGCAGCCTCCCGTCGCCTCTGGCCCTGGGATCGGGCTCGACAGCTGCGGGCCTCTCCCGCGGAGGCCCCCCAGGGGTGGCCGCCCACCAGAGGTGGCTTTACGCCTGTCCCCTCTACAGGGGGGAAAGTCGAAAATGGTGAAACAATCCATGGGGACGTTTTTTATTCCCGGAAAGGGCGCGGGCCCAGGGTTCTCTTTTAGCCGTTTACCCCCGGATCTGACGGGTCAAGCGCCGGCGAAATTATTTGCGATAAATAACGAGGTAAAGTGCTGATTTTTTTTTAGAAAAAGTGCGTTTTGTGCGTGCCCGCTCGAGGAAAGTTCGCCCCCCATCTCGGATCCTCGATAAATAACGGGGTCCGCAGACCCCCGCTTTCCCTCGTAAAAAAGAGGGTGCGGAGCGTTTTTCCCGGAAAGGGCGTGGGCCCAGGGTTCTCTTTTAGCCGTTTACCCCCGGATCTGACGGGTCAAGCGCCGGCGAAATTATTTGCGATAAATAACGAGGTAAAGTGCTGATTTTTTTAGAAAAAGTGCGTTTTCTGCGTGCCCGCTCGAGGAAAGTTCGCCCCCCATCTCGGATCCTCGATAAATAACGGGGTCCGCAGACCCCCGCTTTCCCTCGTAAAAAAGAGGGTGCGGAGCGTTTTTCGCAGAATCCTCGAAAAATAACGGGGTCTGGAGCCCCGACCGCGACTCGGAAAGCGCCCCGCGCGCAGGAATTCCGAGGATGTCTCGCGCGTGCCGCGTCCCGCGCGCAGGAATTTCGAGGATGTCTCGACTAATTCGCTTGTTTTGTCAGGATTTCTTAGAACTTTGGCAGGATGTCTCGAGCGAAACGCTTATTTTACATAGTTTGTGGAGGATGTCTCGAGCGAAACGCTGGTTTTCGCAAAATTGGGAGATGTCTCGAGCGGGGGGCCAGAATTCAGAGGATGTCTCAGGCGAAATGCTTGTTTTCGTGTCCCGCTCGCGGGAATTCCAAGGATGTCTCGCGCGGGCCGCGTCCCGCGCGCAGGAATTTCGAGGATGTCTCGACTAATTCGTTTGTTTTGTCAGGATTTCTTAGAATTTTGACCGGATGTCTCGAGCGAAACGCTTGTTTTTCTTAATTTGTTGAGGATGTCTCGAGCGAAACGCTGGTTTCTGCAAACTTGGGGATGTCTCGAGCGGGGGCCTCGTGGGGGGCCAGAATTCAGAGGATGTCTCAGGCGAAATGCTTGTTTTCACGTCCCGCTCGCAGCAATTCGGAAGATGTCTCGCGCGTGCCACGTCCCGCGCGCAGGAATTTTGAGGATGTCCATAGCGCGTCCCCTTGGCACGTCCTACGGTGCGACCTCATGGCACGTCCCTTGGCACGTCGCCTGGCGCGTCCCTTGGGACGTTTCGCGGCGCGTCCTCCTGGCATGTCCCCCTGTCAATTAGCTCTGGGGCAGCTGCTATGTGTTCAGGAAGCTCGAGCTTCAGATCCAGATCAGTTCGGTCAGGACTTGGATGCAAAGGAAGACTCGCGCGCAGGAATTCCGAGGATGTCTCGCGCGTGCCGCGTCCAGCGCGCAGGAATTTCGAGGATGTCTCGACTAATTCGCTAGGTTTTGCAGGATTTTTCGTAGGAGGGCCAAGGAGAGGCCCCGAAGGCTCTGGGAGCGGCGACGACGACGACGACGACGACGACGACGACGACGTCTCTTGGGGTTCTCTTGGACGGTTTGTAGAGACCACGCTTACATGATCGACGGGTCGAGGACAGCGCGACGACGACGACGTCGCGGTGGCGGCGGCGTCCACCACGACGACAAAGTCTCATCTTAGAGCCTTGCGTGGGGGGGTCTCTTGGGGTTATCTTGGAGGGTCTCTGGAGGGTCTGTAGAGCCCACGCTTACACGATCGAGGGATCGAGGACAGCGCGACGACGACGACGACGTCGCGGTGGCGGCGGCGGCGACGACGACGACGACAAAGTCTCATCTTAGAGCCTTGCGTGGGGGGGTCTCTTGGGGTTCTCTTGGAGGGTCTCTTGACGGTTTGTAGAGCCCACGCTTACACGATCGAGGGATCGAGGTCAGCGCGACGATGACGACCACGTCGCGGTGGCGGCGGCGGCGACGACGACGACAAAGTCTCATCTTAGAGCCTCTCGTGGGGGGGTCTCCGGGGGTTCTCTGGGTGGGTCTCTTGGGGGTCTGCAGAGCCCACGCTTACACGATCGAGGGCTCGAGGACAGCGCGACGACGACGACGACGTCGCGGTGGCGGCGGCGGCGGCGACGACGACGACAAAGTCTCATCTTAGAGCTTGCGTGGGGGGGTCTCTTGGGGTTCTCTTGGAGGGTCTCTTGAGGGTCTGTAGAGCCCACGCTTACACGATCGAGGGATCGAGGACAGGGCGGCGGCGGCGACGACTACGACAAAGTCTCATCTTGTGCCTGGTGGGGGTCTTCTTGGAGGGTTCTTGGGGTATGTAGAGCAACGGCGGTGGCGGCGGCGGCGTCGACGGGTGGGGAACGTCATAGTCTCATCTTAGAGCCTTGCGATGGAGCGGATGTCTTGGGTTCTCTGGGGGGTCTCATGGGGGGTCTGTATAGCCAGAGCCCTCGCTTTCACGTTCGAGTGTTCGTGGACAGCGCGACGGAAGACGACGAACGTCGCAAGTGCGGGCAGGCGGCGGACGACGACGACAAAGTCTTCATTTAGAGCCTTGCGTTGGGTGTCTCGGGGTTCTCTTGGAGGGTCTCTTGGGGGTCTGTAGAGCCCACGCTTTCACGATCGAGTGATCGAGGACAGCGCGACGACGACGACGACGTCGCGGTGGCGGCGGCGGCGACGACGACGACAAAGTCTCATCTTAGAGCCTCTCGTGGGGGGTCTCCGGGGGTTCTCTGGGAGGGTCTCTTGGGGGTCTGCAGAGCCCACGCTTACACGATCGAGGGCTCGAGGACAGCGCGACGACGACGACGACGTCGCGGAGGCGGCGGCGGCGGCGATGACGACGACAAAGTCTCATCTTAGAGCCTTGCGTGGGGGGGTCTCTTGGGGTTCTCTTGGAGGGTCTCTTGAGGGTCTGTAGAGCCACGCTTACACGATCGAGGGATCGAGGACAGGGCGGCGGCGGCGACGACGACGACAAAGTCTCATCTTAGAGCCTTGCGTGGGGGGTCTCTTGGAGGGTCTCTTGGGGGTCTGTAGAGCCCACGACGACGACGTCGCGGTGGCGGCGGCGGCGACGACGACGACAATGTCTCATCTTAGAGCCTTGCGTGGAGCGGTGTCTTGGGGTTCTCTTGGAGGGTCTCTTGGGGGTCTGTAGAGCCCACGCTTTCACGATCCGACGACGTCGCGGTGGCGGCGGCGGCGACGACGACGACAATGTCTCATCTTAGAGCCTTGCGTGGGGTGTCTCGGGGTTCTCTTGGAGGGTTTCTTGGGGGTCTGTAGAGCCCACGCTTTCACGATCGAGTGATCGAGGACAGCGCGACGACGACGACGACGACGTCGCGGTGGCGGCGGCGGCGACGACGACGACAAAGTCTCATCTTAGAGCCTTGCGTGGGGGGGTCTCCGGGGGTGCTCTTGGAGGGTCTCTTGGGGGTCTGTAGAACCCACGCTTACACGATCGAGGGATCGAGGACAGCGCGACGACGACGACGTCGCGGTGGCGGCGGCGGCGACGACGACGACGATCCAGCGTAATCCAGGCCCCCAGCGAATCCGTGTGTTCTTACGTATGTGCCTATAGATTAGGCTTCCCAGGTCCACACGGCCCCCAAAGAGTTCCCTCAGGGCCCCCAAAGTGCTCCAAGACGGTCCGAGAGGGCCTTGGGATCGCCCGAGGCAGCATGCAGCACTACCGACGGTACGGCAGCAGCGACGACCGTGCCTTGCGCTTGTGGGACATCTGTTTACTCGGGTACACACGATACCTGCGACGCCAGCTCCAACACGTGCGTTCAGGCGAGTTCTGTTAGATGTATGGGAGGAAGAGGAGGACGCAGAAGAGGAGGAGGTGGAGGAGGAAGACACGTGTCAAGTCCTGCATTCGAGCTGCGCCTTCTTCCCGACATGTTCCCGGAAAGGGCGCGGCCAGGTTTATTTTATTTTTTTTTTTTTTTTTTTTTTTTTTGTTTTTTTTTTTCTTCTTTTTTTTTTTTTTTTTTTTTTCAGTTGGTTTACCCCCGGTTTCGACGGGAGGTGGGCCGGCGAAATTATTCTGCGATAAATTACGTGCG